ATGGTCGCAAAGTCCCAGCACGTGCCACGGAGGTCCTGCGTCTTGCGGGGCGTGACGTTTTCCACTGCGTACTTGTGCGGCAGCGCGTCGATGGCCGGCGCGGCGTGCTTGAGCGGCTTGACGCTGCCCATGGCCAGCATCTGCGCGTGGAGTGCGTCGAGCGCCGCCGCTTGGTTGCTGACCATCGAGTGCATCGTGGCCGCATATCCGAGCGTGGCGACGGCGACGGTCGCGCCGACGGCCACGTGCTTCCACGAGACCTCAGACGCGCTCGACGCCCGCGCAATGCGGATATGCTTGAGTTCTACCAGCCATTCACGATCGGTCCAGCGTTGATAGATAGCGTTTACCTTGGGTGCCCGAGCCGTACGGCAGCATATTCGGAGTCGTGCTTGTACGAAGCAAAAGCCAAAGTGAGAGCGCTATGGACGGCAGCTGGCCGCCGTCGTTTCGGCGGCCAGCTGGTTGAACCCGAGAAGGTCCGTCGTTCTCAGATCTGAGTTGCATACAAAGTCCAAGCTACTTTGACGCTGAGGCGGCCTTTCTCCCCATCGAGTTTGCCTTTTGCTGAACGGTTGCCGGAAAACACACGGTGTGAAATGCTGTGTAAAAAGCATCGCATTGGATGTTGGTAGCGTGTGTGAATGGTGTTTTACATCCTGTGGGAAACGTGCAGCCAAAAAGATCCAAACTTGAAGCGGACAGGCGGGTTGAAATTTCGCGTGGAAGCCAAAGCTTGGACCAACGAGTACCTTGCGCGACCCAAGGGACGCCGTGCTTGCATGGACGCGAGGAAGACGAGGCCCTCGATGCACCTCGTCGTCGTCGTCGCAGCCTCTACAACGCCAGCCGCAGCGCTCGCGTCATCCATCCCGCTCGCGCCAATTCCTCTCGGTTGAACGACGTTCGACGATCCAAGGCTTATCGAAGCGTGCTAGACGACGCATCTGGACTGTGATTACTCCGACTTGACGCCCATCCTCCGCGCTTTTCAATGCGTAGAGCTCTTGACTGTGCAGCTGACAGTGCCCGTCGAGCAATGTGCATTCGATTGAAAAAGTAGCTGTACCCATCGAGATGCCGTATCCGAGGTGCGTGAAGCCGAGGCTCGGTGGCCTTCACCTCGTGTTCCTGGATGGACCAAGAAGAAGTGTGTACGAGAGGCACATGGTGCAAGTAGCTGGCTGTTGCGTAAAGCACTCGACTGCACGCGCGCTATCTCGAGGCCAGACTGCAGGGGCGGCTATCGCGAGATACAAAGCCAAACGGGACGCCAGAGCTTGTGTTCGAGGACGTGTGTGAGTATCTAAGTGAATCGTATGTATTCGCGAGGCCTCTCGGCTTAGGCCTTTTGCTGCGCGTCGTGGTGGTCGCGAATGACTTGGAAGAACGGGTGGGCCATCGCCTCCTTGGCGGTCGGGCGCTTCTGGTGGTCGTACTGGAGGAGGCTCTCGAGAAAGTCGAGTGCTTCTGGCGTCACGAGGTGCTTGTTGTCGGGCGTAATGAACTTCTCCCACGGCTTCTTCGAGTGCGTGCCAAGGATGCCATCGTACTGCGCGTCGAGCTCGAGGTCATACGTCGAGAGGTACTCAAAGAGGTCTTCGGTACCGCGGACCTTGGCGATCTTGACGAGCTGGTCGTAATTGTCGTGGCCGTGGAAGAACGGCTCCTTCTTGAAGATCATGCCGGCGAGGACGCAGCCGACGCTCCACATGTCGAGCGAGTAGTCGTACTCTTGCATGTCGACGAGGAGCTCCGGGCCCTTGAAGTAGCGCGACGCGACGCGGACGTTGTACTCGCGGTGCGGGTGGTAAAACTCGGCCAGGCCAAAGTCGATCAAGCGCAGCTGGCGCTTCTCGTGGTCAATCATCACGTTGTGCGGCTTGACGTCGCGGTGCATGATGCCATTGGCATGGCAAAAGTCGAGCGCCTTGAGCAGCTCGAACATGTAGTAGCGGATGTCAAAGTCCGTCAAGGTCGGGTACAGCGTCTTGAAGTCGTGGTTGTTGACGTACTCGGTGATGAGCGACGGCGTCTTGGACTGCGGGTCGCGGACCACGTCGAGGAGCTTGACAATGTTGGGCCCACCGCTCAGATTCTGCAAAATCTTGATCTCGCGCTTGATCTTCTTCTTCTTGACGGGCTTGAGGATCTTGATGACGCACTTGGCGCCCGTGGCAAGGGCCACGCCCTCGAAGACCTCCGAGTACTTGCCACGGCCGATCTTGCGCGAGACCTCGTACGCGTCCTGGTCGCCCCAGGCCACCGAAAGGTTGTCGTAGTCCCAGTACTCGCGCGGCCGCGACTCGCAGGCGTCGGCGTAGACTCGGGCGAGAGACATTGGCTCTTGTAATGACTGGTGCGATTCTAGACGCCAGCTTTTGCCAAACGACATACAAATCGCAAGGTATTTTAATGCGTGCGTTTCCGGGCACGGGGGTTTATAACCGACAGAAAATATAACGAGTCGGGTGGGAACGCCACCGTACGGCAAAGGCAAAAGTGTCGGTGATACGATACGGTAGACGGAAGACGACGACAGACATGACAGCGTGACGGCCATGAACGACGATTCAAGAGGGCTCGCGTACGGTCGAGAGAAGAAGAGGAAGGAGAAGCGTTGGGGAGCGTGCCATATCGTGTAGTGGATACGTCAAACGACGACGGATGGACGGTACCGACATCGCGGTATGCCAGGTGTCGGCAAGATAACACGGAAGGCGGTGTGGTTGCCGGCACCAGTCCGCACTGTTGTCAATGGAATTTGACGGGCATGCATTTCACATGGCGCCGTTGAATGGAGCGGCATTGCACTCGAGTGCTAGTACAGTACAGTAGTTGTCTGGAGCACCGACCAGGATATATGTATATATATGAACGTGTTTCGCGTTATCTTATTTGTTACAAAGCGGTCATGAATAGGATATTGATTTTATTGGATTGAAGGACTTTTGGCGGCCCTCGTGTTGTCAAGAACGCACACAAATTGGTGCAGCGTGGCGTCTTGCAACTAGCGTTTGTCGCCGCAGTGCAAGGAACGAGGTCGCCTTTCCTATCAAGGATTGCTTCCCCAGGTGTGGAGCTACTCATTCCTTAATGCTGCAACAAGCCACGTGCCGATCGAGTGGCGGATATTAATGAACAGCCTGGCGGCGACATTGTCGAGCCAGCGTCGGGCGGCGACGTCCGTGCGTGCAAGCTCGATAGCGTTTCCACAAACGTACAGTAGCAGCGTCATTCCCATCCACAAGGCTCCACGACACTGCAAAGCTTGAAAACACGAGGTGTGGTCGCGTCGGCGGGGTAGGGTATAGCCCATCCCCCGCTGTGTAGCAAGTGCAGGTTTGCATTCTCGGTTTGTTCGTGTGCCAACAGTCGCGATTGATCGCTGCAACGGTCCTTTGCATACACATACAGTGGTGCGACTCGACTACAACGAAGTGTGCACAGAGCTGTATGAGGACAATGGCGTCGGCTCAAAGACCCGGCGGCCACACCGATTGCTACCGTACATGGTAGCCGGGCTGGTGTGTGCAGGTTGCACTGGCGTTGCAGTTGCGGGTCGGGCGACACACATACTTTTTTCGCAACCGACCGCGTCCATGTGCGCGTGGACCGACTATGGACGTTTCAATACCTACCTCCGACAGTGTAGACGGAATTTGCCGCCCACGTCTGCCCTAGTATACCGTCGTCCCAACGCGGACGCAAGAAACACGGCGTTAAAAACGAGCGCTGGTCCGTCGCTTCTGCACCGCGCTTGGGACACCACAGCTCCACCGCTCTGACGCGCTGCGTAAATTGCTCCTTGAGCAGTAGGACGAGCGTGAGCAACAGTGGCGCACCCATCGTAACGAGAGATCGTCATGCGACTGCCTGCGACATGCGACGAAAGAACGAAGGCAAGTGCTCTGCATTTCTTGACACTCGCTGGGTCTCCGAGCAGCGTCACTGCCCGATGCACGCGCTGCTTGACATTAGCCGCGTGCATCAACGGGTCCCCCTTTCCCACATCGTTTTGGCCCCACCACCCATGTTTTATCCAGACTGTCTCTATCACTGGGTCATATATCACTTTTGTCTCATCTTGTCGGGCGTGGCGGGAGGACAATTGATGCTACTTGTTGGCGAGAAGGAAGGAGGATCCAGACGCGAGCGCTGTGCCCCACTAGTTTGATCACAAAACCAAGTTTGTTGGCGCGTGGAATAGCGATTGAAACCATCGGACGCTGGCAGAGGAGATATGGAAAGCGTCTTGCGTGCGCGTCCGTTCGACTACGGAATTTGATATCCTATACTAGTCGAATATCACAGCGTTGTCGTGACTCACTCGCAAAAGTAGCTAGAGCAGATTCGAATGGTCTGATCGCACAGTCGACCGCTGCTGGCGTGTGGGGAAAAGACGTGTGCCGAATCAAGTGCATTGGTACCGGTACCACTTGGGTACTCGTGGGCGCCATTTCTTGTTTGATGGGTACCTCGTGTGCTCCGTGGTCCAAGCGACGACGTCGCAGCTGCCTTCCTCGACTTGTCCTCGGGCTACATTATTGCCATCAAGCGCTGTCATCACGTGCCCAAGGCGCGATGATAATTGCTCCACGAGGTCATTGAGAAACTCTTGAGGACTTGGTCACTGGAAAACGCAAGGCCAAGTGCAAACTGAGTTCATTGGCGATGTAACTGGGGCCCCACGAAAAGGACCATGTGTTACTTCGCGCCAGCCGCATCCTGGTCCGAGTGTCATAACTGGATCGTCCGGCGAACGCGATGGTGTCTTCCTCGGCCTATGTGGTACGTGCAATCGCGCGCTGCCTCGGCTGCTAACCGAAAGGCTAGACGACGCGGCTCAACCAAACGGTTGCCATTCGTCCCAACACGAGCCGCCTCCCGACCGACAAGCTGCCGCCGTCGAGTACGCTCATTTCGCTCTTTCAGCGGACGGTCAAGCGGTACGGGTACCAAAAAGCGCTCCACGAGAAGCGCAAGGACACGTGGTGCGTGGGTTCAACTCTCACTCGCCGCCACATTCGATTGAATCCAATGCACTAGGTATTCGCTGACGTGGCGCCAATACTACACGCAGGCCCAA